GAACACGTGGATGTTTGTTATAGAACAAAACATTGGAGACCCGTCGAGAGATTCCACATGGATAACTATCTGAGTGTTAGTGGTTAATCTCTAACGTTCGGTAGTGGAATTGGTCCTTTTGACTTGAGGTCGTCATGGTACCTTATATGAGGACAGTCATACTTTGGCAGTGTTGGATGTTGCTCTGAAAAGGGCCGCTAATACGACATCGTTCGGGTACGTCAAGAATCGTATGAAGGTTGTGATTGATCAATAAAGGATTCGTCACTCTTAGATAGTAGGAGATTATGATCTGCGTTTCATTCAATTAAGTCAATGATGAAATCCTTGGCCAAGGTGTACTCATAAGTCGAAAAGGAGTTTTCGATTTATATTGACTTAATAGTGGAGTGAAAGATATGATCGATGATCGAGATTGACACAATTCCATATCTCGTAATTGATCGGATCATATTGATGAAGGGATTATAGTTTCACGGTAAACGAACGAATTTGGTTTTGTCATACCACGTGACATTTCCCCTCACATGTATTGCCCTGACACATTGCTAGATGTCAATCAGGGACGGCGATTGTGAATTGACGATAAATTAAAAGGGTGTTTTAATTTATCAATTTTGATTAGATCAAAATAATATTTCACGTCGTTAAGCATCGTGGTCGGGAACCTAATGGGTCACACACAAAAGAGAATTGGAAGATTGTAAATTGCCAATTAGTTAATTTAACAATCGTTGGATAAATTAATTAATTGGATTTGTTATTTATATTTTCGAATTAATTAATTGGATTAATTAATTCACGGACCGGGTTTAATTAATTGGATTAATTAATTATTGGACCGGACCGGGCCGAGCCTATTTGGGTTTATATAAATATATAACTAGGGTTTGAGGTCCATTAAGGTTTTCATTATTCTTGCTGGCACAAGAGAAAACCCTAGAGACTGCAATCATATTCTCTGTGTGGATCACCGTTGGAGGCTGGACAATTGGACAGCTGTGGTGGCGAATCAAAGTTGTGGAACGAAAAGAAAAGCAATAGGATTGCAGATCTGGAAAAGGTACAATCTTATCACAATTCCTAACCAAACACAATGAGATTTATTGGATGGGAATCGAAATATATTTTAAATTCCGCTGTGCATGTATAAGTAGATTCCCAACAGGCTAGATAGATCAAGGACCTCCTTCTAGTGTGATGCTATGTAATGCAGCATAAGAATTCCTCTCTATCAATAAAATCGACGTGTAAGAATGCTCCCATCAAGGATGACCATAGCTCAACCTCGAGGATGGAACAATCACCATAGGATGAGAAGAATGAATAATGCATCATCCAGGGTGATCATCATAGGATGAGAAGAATGCATGAATGCATCATTCAGAGTAATCCCGAATAATACCCCACCACTAGCAAAATCATCCCTAAAACACCCATCAGTATTTATCTTATAGGATCCCAAGAGTAGATGACACCACAAAATTGGGATACTATAGCAAAAGAATATGTCTCTATTAATAAATCTGATAGACCAAGTCAATGCACGAGAAGTATTCCACCATGGATGACACCCAGCTCAACCTCGAGCATAGGAATTGATGAGAAAAATGCATAAATGCATCATCCAAAGTGACCTCAGATGATACCCCGACTCATAGTAAAATCATACCTAACACATTCATCGATGTTGATCTTGTAGGATCCTATCGATGGAGCATGCCACGTAACTAGGATAGGAGGCGAATGTGGGGTGAGTAAGGATAACACCAAATAAAGAAGCGATATCCAGATCCCCAGTAAGAGCTGGAACGTAATTCATCAATCGCAATTCTCCCAGCCCAATAGTTATCCATTTTAATTCGCCAACCAGCCTTACTCAACAAGCTCCTTTCCTTGGGATTGTAACACCATAAATTAGACCTAGAGTCAAATCAACTCCCTTCTTTCTCTAGCAACCTTAGTATCTGTAAGCGAGATAAGCCTTCAAAAAAAGAACAAGCCAAGCTTTTTCAAGTACGTAATAAGATGACACCGTTCGCTAAAGGCATGGCTCTCTCAGAAACCGTAACCAGCACAATTCCTTGCAGATAAACTCTTGTTTATCCTATTCAAAAATCAAAATTGGAGGCATTTGTGAAAGAAGAGATGGTCTGATAAACCGGTCATATGATCCTTCAAGGCTCCATATTACATTCTGGTGCTTCACATATTTTCTTGCATTCGAACAAAGGAACGATAGTGTGAATGTAACCACGCCAAACAAACTGACCAGATTATACAAGGTGTGGACTGTATTGACTTCATTCAACGCCAGGTTGATTGCAACTCTTGTTAGACCCTTTATGTCTGTGTTATGGCTTCTAGGACCTGATTTAAACTGATTCATACACTTAAAAGGATTACAGCTTTTGGAGCAAATGTTCTGAATATCTATTTCCTCTGGTGAGTGGCATATTGAAGATAGATGGCTAAAAAATGTGGACCATGAAAATCATCACGAGAAGTTGTACAAAGAAAAAGCCATTTTTCTCTTTTTTTCCCCTGAGCTTTTTGGTTTTCTTGTTTGTTGAGTACTTAAGTATATGACCCTTGTCATAGAGTGATTCTCATTTTTAAGTCACAAAAGGGGACTAAATAATCTTATCTTCATTGCACAACATTAATTCTTTCTCTGTCACATAACATTAAAACTCAGAAAATTTGCAATTTGTTTTACCAAAAATGAAAAAAAGTGTATATAATTTGAATGGGGAAAAAAATTGCATCAACTAAGTAGATAGAATATCACACGTGCATCTGCAGAAGCATTACAATGTATATTCAAACTCAAATAGGACAGCTCACCAATTTTGTATCTATCTCTGATATCAACCGTGTTTTAGACATTTCAATTATAGAATGTTATGTGACATTATGTCAACCTTTTTGTCAAGCTCTTCTGGCAATGTAGATGATTGTTTAAGAAATGGCACCTGAAGTTTTACACAGATTTGTAAGATACAGCATTTTAATTGTAGCTTCTGGACTGAAATAAATATTAAAAATTCTCGAAAAATAGATTCATACTGGGGAGCACATAATACGCAAATATGGAACTCTGCAAAGTAATATCATAATGAACTGAAATTGGAAATTGATTGTACATATTGAATGGATTTCAAAGGCCAATGGCAACCTTTTTCTACACTCTATAAGGCCAAAACAAAACTTCTACATAGTTGAAAAGAAACATGAGAACCTGGATCCTATAGGAATTATCGATACACAAGATTCCTGAAAGCAGCTGCTGAACAATTACAAACTAAATTTTCCATTCAATGCCATCGCTTAAATCAGTATACTCTGGCTACAAGAAACTTGCACATTCTTTTTATCCATTCACAAATGAAATTTTTTTTTTTTTTTTTTTTTTGAGCTCGGTTTCACATCTAAGCTGTCTTTCTGGTGCTTCTTAAGAAACTTATGCAGGAACCAACTGTTCCACGAAGCAGTGTGTGCTTACATTTACATAATGTATCTCCATGAATGTCAATTCACTAACACGAACAGATACATTCGGTAAACTGATCTCGAATCTCAATACCACATTTTGCATAATACCCGTCGAATAACCAAAGATTGTAACTTCAATGCTTCATCTCTGGAAGCCCTTCACCTCCTTTTGACCCACTAACGAAGGAGATGACCCAGGTTAGAAATGACCGAGATTCTGTATTTATTGGATTGTTCTGGTCAGTTTGCACTTAGAAATGAAGATGGTATCTGAATAATTCAGACTACAGAGCTTCAAAAGCTCAGCGGCACGCTGCTTCAGTACTTGACTGCAACCACTCTGAATGACAAGAAGAAGCTTTGCTGCAAGACCAGCATCCACAGCTATTGCCAAGCATTCATCAGGGGAGAGTTTGCACACAGACCACAAGATTGAAAGTGCATATTCTGTACAGCTTTCCGAAACTCTCATAAGTAGTTTAACCACATTTGGTATAGTGTTGGAACAATCCTTCAAAGCCTGTCTTCCTTCATGCACAGATGACAGGACATCCAAAATGAAAAGGGCTAATTCCAAGCTTTCTGGACTCAAGACAGGCAACATTTTCATCAATTGAGGAATAGCACCAATGCTTACAATCAAACTCCTAACTTGATCGTGCGTGCAAATTGATTTGAGAAGCCCAAGCGCAGGTAAATGTCCATTAGGGCGTCTGTTATCCCGCACCAGTCTCATCAAAGCAACCAACAAACTATGGCTGGAGACAATTTCTACTTCAAATTCCTTCTCTTCCATCAGCTTTTCAATTAACCTAACACAATTGACTTTTGTTTCAATAGATCCTTCGTTCAAAATATCTATAATTGATGATACCTTTGCAGGCTGTATCAAATTCGTTTTCGACTCTGAATTTAGAGTCAAGTTCACAAGAATTGCTATAACTTCAGAGCCTACAGAATACGAAGTAAATGGACCAAGTAAAGATGACAGAAGAACCACTCCACCTTCATCAACCACAGACTTCCTAGCAGTGACATGATCCTTGACAACTTGTTCAAGTTCCTTAAGGGCTTGTATTCTAGCCTGACTTTTTGCCTTCTTCAGGGTATTGAGAAGCTCTGTTGCCCTCCCCTGTGCATCCTCAGATCTTTTCTTCATTTGCAAATACTTCTGAGAAAACCAAGTGTAGATTAAATGATAAAGGGTCTTGTTTGGAGTTACTGTATCATCCCAAAGTTCTTGCATTGTAGTGGGACAAGTATAGTGTCCCAAACTTAGCCATTTGAGAATGTTGGATTTCTCATAGGTTTGCCCAGTGCAAAGAGTCACAGGGTCTTGCATTGGTTCAAGAGAAATGGGACAAATAAAAACTGATGGAACTTCAGGTAAATTTAGCTCTTTTATCATTTTCTTCAGATCAATTTTTTCTCCAACTCCTCCACCAAAACCCCCACCTGCAACTTCACCCAAGACTCCATTTATCACTGCAGTATCAAGATCTAAGATAAGCCCACCCTCAAACCCAACAAGCCCATCTCTCTTTGAAGGCTGATACATAGGCATTTTGTCAAACAACTAATCTTGAATCACCCAATTATTGAATGACACAAACCCCTTGTAAAAAGACTCTCCAAACTATCCACATCAACGGCCTTTCAAGAAAGAACATTACATTTAACAAAAAATACACACGAGAGATGTGAAAACCTGAAAGAGAAACAATTCTCGCTTTCAAAGGGCAAACCTTCTCTCTCTATTTCCACTTTTCTTGGTCAAAAGACTCATCATCATCATCATTTAACACATCATAGAGCATTTATAATCAACACTCTTCCCAAAAAAAAATTAAATCTTTCTTCCCATTCAAGCCTCAAAAAAGAGTTGAATCATGCAAAAAAGATGGGAATCAATGCAAATCTCAACACAGAAAAATCAAACTTTCACCAAAGTATAACACAAGTGAAGAAAAAGTTGATACCCAGATGAAAAATAGAAAAATTCCTGTGAAGATGAGGATTCAAATGGCAGAAAAGAGAGAAATAAAAGACTGAAGACTCCAGCAAAGACTCCTCTCTGCTGAGGGTCTTCTTTTTTCTTTGGTTTTGGGGCCAGAAACAGTGCTGCATTGAGTCTTGAAATATAAAATAATGATTTGTGGGGAAGAAAAATATACCGTCTTGGAAGGACCAAATATTCGAATTTCAATATAATTTTACAATATAGAAAGTTTGGAGATTCAGTAAAATATTTTTTGTGAGATAATTTAATCAAAAAGTTGCTGCTAAACACTTGACCGCAGTGACAGTCTTGCTTTGACCGTACTCCTCGGCCTTTTCCCGTGCGGCTTTCACTTGACTGCTTTACCCCGGTGATGTGTTCCACCGTTATCCAGACATTTTCTATTTATTGTGAATTCATTAATTTCAAATCTACATTTCACGTAGGGTGTATTTGATGGTGGTGGAATTCCTTGAAAAATGGAATTAGAGTTTTACCTTTTAATTTAACTTTGTTTGATATTTATTTTTTTTCTTACAAATGAAATTCCATCTTTGATGCCACATAAGTCAATTTCCATGAATTTAAGAAATTGCAATTCTCACCTGGTTACTGTAGCTTTTTTTTTTTTTTTTTTTTTTTGCAATGGAAACAAATTCTAAGAATTATTGTAAAAAAATATTTTCCTTAAATTGAAAATTTTAATATAAAACAATGTCAAACGAACACCAAAAAATGGATGATTTTTTTGAATTTTTTTTTTTGGCAATGGGAACAAATTTCATTCCCAATATCAATAAATTATATCCTTTTAATTGACAATTTCATGTAAAACAAAGTCAAACGAACACCAAAAAATACTTTTATTTCAACATTTTCTACGTGAAAAATTATAGCAATCAAACACAATAATTTACAATTCTCAAGAAACAATTTCTAGGCAATTCAATTCTCTATAATTCGTTTTCTTGGCAACTCAATTCTATTTTTGTTATCAAATAGACCCTTAGAGCTATAAATAAAAATATCAAATCAAGAAATAGAATCGAATTTCATTTTTAAAATTTAAGAGGGTGTTTGATTCTATTTTTTTTTTTAAACTATATTTTTTTTCTATCTTCTTTTCAACTGCATATTCTTTATTAAAATAATATTACACGTAAATTAAAAAATTTCCTCTTTTTTAATCACACATTCTCTATCAATCTATTATTTCAAAATACATTCTTGAAAAAGAATGTAGCTCAATGGCAAAGGACGAGTATCCCCACCCGGCGAAAATTTTGGGGAGGGAAAGAGATCAAAAAGTTCTCATTTTTTCATTCTGTTTAATTAATTAATTGTTTTTAAATATAATTTTAATTGAAAAATATGAAATATTATAAAATGAATAAGTCCTTGTTTTGGTTTCATTATTTTTAAATACATTTTTCTATCCTATTTTCAATTATACATTCCTCGATAAAATAATAGGTTATAATAGGTTATAGGAATATAAACGAGAACCATGTTCCCCATCATAGCTCAATTCACTATTGGGACAAGATAGGGACGTAAAACTGTGTCATATCTATTAAAAACAACATATTGATGTCATGTGGACCTATGAATATATGATTTTAAACTAAAAATATTTTTGCTTAGAATTTTAACTGCAGTTTAAGAGAATGTTTAGTGATGACCAAAATTAGATTTTTTTAGTATATTATGACAAAAGTTTTCGAAATGTGTGATCGAAAAATTGTAAGACCCATAAAAAACGTTATTAATATTAATTATTTGATTTTGACTTAAATTAAAATCAAATTTTAATCAAAACCAAACATGAGCTAAAATCAAATCAAACCATTTAAGAATTTATAAGTAAAATAAATGAAATGGATCATAATGATAAATTACAATCTTAATCTTCAACTTAAGTAGGGATGGCAACGGACGCGGCTATGAGATTGGTCGGTCATTTCCATCTGCGTCCCATCGGGTATTTTTGTTATCTTACCTCATACCTCATACCGAATTAAAATGGGGTGGGGCGGGGTAGGTTATCTACCCCATTTATCGCCCCATTTACATTTTTTCTTTTTCTTTTTATTTATTTTATTTTTTGCTTTTATTTTTTTATGTCATTAGTTGGTAAATATTATTACTAGTTTACCAAATTGTTAAAAACAACTTATGTTATCTTTAAAAATAACGATAAATCTATTATTTTTGTTTGATAAAAACTTAAATTTGAAATTAAATTTAAACAAGACAGGTTATGAGACGGGGATTATAATTCTTGTACCCACTTTGGGGCAATGACCCTTGCCCTATTCCCGTCCCATTTACCTGATTAGACGAGTAATCCCCACCCCATTTGGGGGTAGGGCCTATGAGTATCAGATTGAACGAATTTTTTTGTCATCCTTAAAGTTAAGATATGAGTATTAAAATTTTAATATAAATACAGAGACTGGTAGACAACTATAACTACAATTTTCCTAATTTAATAATCCAATCAATCTATCATTAAACTGTTATGACGTGGTGAGGATCCTGAAAATTGGGTTGGGGCATCAAGTTATATCGTGACTTTATATTTATTTTTAAAATTTTATTATGACTTTGCATTAGCTTCACTCGGTACAAATTATTAGGGAAAAAGGTGAACGAAATCAACTTTATAGTGTCTTTTTATAGTTTTGTTCGTATTTATATTTATAATTTTATTTATTTTATTGCAAATAAAGTGGATAGACATTTTATAATCAATGAACTACTGACATTAAAGTAAATATGGAAGAAAAAATATACGTCAAAATCACGTTTTAAAACCAAATAGTATAGTTTGAAAATAGGGTTTTTTAATTTGTCCACCGAAGTGTATAAAATGAACTACTAACATTAAAGTAAACATGGAATAAAAAATGTGTCAAAATCACGTTTTAAAACCAAACAGTATAGTTCGAAAATATGGTTTTTCTATTTGTATATCGAGATTGACACCTCAGTGTAAAGACTCCTTCACAAGAGGGAGCCCACAATGAATAAAAAAGTATTGTCAAACTCCGATGTACAAGTCGACAAATCCTTGAAAATATATTCAAAACTGCCCAAGCTTGAATACTTGCGGCCTTAATTTCACTCCTTTAATCAACTGAAGTTCAATACTTCTATTTTACCAACTAGAGATACAGTTCAAATATCGAGCATTATAATTATATGTATATGGTACCTAAAATTGTCCTCCATTTCTTAATTTTTTATTATTATTTTTTTTTTTAAACTCATTTTGAATCAGACATTTCATGAGACCTACAATATTTATTAACTTTTCAACTATACATTTCACCAACTTTTATCAAATCCATTAAAAATCTAATTTTTATCTAACATCAGATGAAATGCTTGAGAGAGAGAGAGAGAGAGAGAGAGAGAGAGAGAGAGAGAGTTTAAATGTAAGCTAAGGTATTACAAAAAAGAATGGATAGAGTTTGCATATTTCGTTGTGTAGTTATAATTGGACTACAGCAGCTAAGACGAGAACTTTAGAGTCATAACATTGGCAAAACTTTTATCAACAGATTTTGTTGACCCTCCAAAATGGTCAACAAATGTTGATACAAAATGTTATACATGTGGACGTATTATGTAGTATTTCTACTGTAAATATGAATGTTTGTGGAAGAATGTGAATAGTGAACAACGCAAATGTATTATCTCCTCCACTATATTTTTTTCAAGATCTCTCAATTGATACAAGAATTCCTCATTTATAGTGATCAGGCCAACATGGTCACCATAGGATTGGATTCATGTGGCCTGATCTGTCGAACCTAACTGTTACATCAACTATGTCATCTATTAATTACATTAATAGACTTTTGACAAGAAATCAGTCATTCTATAAGCTAAACTGATATTCCTGACACTTATTAACTACACATGTCACATCAATCAACTCTGAAGACGTGCTTGTCCGACCCTCTTCTGTTTGTCAATGACTTCAGATAGTAGAGTGGTTCAGCCACAAAAGTCAAACCACCTCGGATCAACTTAGTGCAACGACCTCGACACTTCCTTTGACAACTTCGAATGTTAGTCCCTTTTGCACCAATTCTTGAATGCTCGCCATGTGTATACATATGAGGTCTCCACGTAAACCTTTTTGTATTGACTAGTAACAGGTTTGTCAAAAAATTCTCTAATATAATTGAATATACCTCTCCACTTTACGTAATAAGACTCTAGTGGTAGAATCCTAATGTAATTAGGTTTACATTGGGCAAGCTCATATCTTAGGACGAGCTTCGTGGCAAGGATGAGGTGATTTCTATTAGGAGCTTGAAGGGAAGTCTCAAATATACTAGGCTTATGGTCAAGTTTGGTGGTGAGCAATTTTAACCTTTTTAGACATTATATTGTACTTATGTGATATATTGGTTTGTAATACATGCAGGAGTATTGTGTGTTCGTTTGATGAAAGGGGCAAGACATATCATTTGACACAATAATGTCGACAAGTATGCACATATCACAAATGTGCAACATGAAAGTAGAATAGTTTAAACGCCCAATTTTGAATCACTTCGATCTGATCACTTGTGCACATGATTTAATGGGCACTCATACATGATTGGTGTTTGGAAGAAATGTGATAAACTAACATTGGCCATATTAAAAGACTACCGTGATTCTCTTCAATAAACTAACATTGGCTGTATTAAAAGACTACCGTGATCCTCTTCAAAGATCAAGAAAATCAGTACCTCAAATAAGCATTAGATTATTTTACACGTGATGAATTTAGACAACCAATCAACACAACCATATGCTCTAAAAGGAGTAATCTTCGATTAACATGCTCCTCCATACAAGGAACTTGTTCTTCCCCATAAGAAAAGTTTATATGTGTAGAAAAGTGTCGTCTATTCAAACACAACGCACAATTTAGCCCTTGTTTGAGCCCTATTTTTCCATCAAAATCTTTTCTTCAACAGTGATTTGACACCATTTCAATTACACATTTTTAAATAAAATAATATTACACGTAAATTTCAAATTTTTCCTTACTTTTTAACCACACATTTTTTATCATAATACTATTTCAAAATACATTTTTTGAAAAAAAATGAAGCTCAAACAAACCCTTAAAATAAGCATGTGATTTGATCAGTTGAAG